TACACTAATTAATAGTCAAATTACTCATAATTTTATTAATTTAGTTCTTTATAAATTACATGTTACGTTGTTTTAATTTTTCTTTTTCCTTTATGATAGAAACACTAAAACTAAATTCGGAAGTATTTACTGGATAAACAACAATTGCAAATATCCGTGTAAATATGTAAATTTTGCCATACATTCTTGCAGATTCTTCATTATTTAATTTCTTTAAATAAATAAAGAGCAATAATATTTGATGGCAATAATTTAAAAAGTGATGTTTATAGTGAAATGCCATAAAATTCCATTTTGAGAGTAATATCTCTTCTGGTTCACCGCCCTTCGGAATAATAATTCCAATAAATGGATAATAAGATCTTTATTCAGAATGAAATATATATTTCGTAAATATGAATGTAACGGTAATAAAAATATTTTAAGAAATGGTCTTTTATTATGATTCATGAGTGTTACTATATAGCGTTAAAGTACAGTTACCATATAGCGTTCATTTTTTTTTTTTTTTTTTTTTTTTAAGTACTCTTTTAGGGTTACTAAACGCTAGTCTAGAAGAGCTATTAAATTAAAGCTGGAGAATAAAGCAAGAAAAATAATATTTAACGCGTAAAACTAGTCACACTACAAGTTTCCATTAAATAAAGTATATTCGAGAACTACGCTGCAACATATACATAATAATTCTATTTTCGCGGCACTATTTTCTAGAGAGCATTAAATAAAGTACGCGATCTACGAAATCGACAAATAAATTCTTAGATGCTTTAAGTTTTAGATTGACGTTTTCTAGATTATATACTGCATGAGTAAACTAAATGCTCTCTTTAACGAACTAATAGTCATTTGTTATTAGCTCAAGATATTAAGCTGTCTGTAGTGTTTTTTAATTAAAGTTTCGTAAATGATTTTTTTGCTGCTCCGGGGTAAAGCAAGAAAAATAAAATACTGGATTTTCATTTTAATTTTAAAAGTAATCTACTTCTTCACCATGCAAAAACGTTGATTACTTTTTGCTTTTTTACGTAACAGATTTGGCAATGTAATTTTTTTCCCTCAAGATTTTATTCCGAAATGAAATTTGTTGAAATTATTTGGTTGTTTCGAGATATCCAAGGTTTAAAAACATAATAAAAATTTCCTGTAACATTTCTGTTTAAACCTCATCTTAATGTTGTGCATATAATTTAAATCACTTCATATTTTTCTAAGCGTGGGCTTAATATGCTTTCATTGTGGTTTCGAATTTTAATTACATAATATTTTTTATATCTGGCATAGAAATACTGACGATTGAAAAGCGGAGTTTTCCAAACAATATAACAGATATTTTTATCTTTAATTTATTTTTCAACAATGCATATATTTTATATAACTAATTAATATTTGCAACGATTAATTTGGGCGTTGTTAACAGTTAGATAAAGTAAGGTGTTTACCTTAATCTTTCCAATTTTCGTATCACATTACCTTGCGCCACCCATGAATTTATCAATAGACTGACAATGAATTTATCGTAGTCTTGCAGACTGCCGCTTCTGTTAATATTTCAGTTGCATAACACCTTTAATTTATTTTTCTCATAGCGTCATAAATTGTTAGTTCTGTGCTGTGTTGTCATTCCGAGAATGTTAAACATTTAACTTCTAATTTAAAACAAAATCTTCTGGGCGACAAACAAAATCTTTTCTAATTTAAAACTGAATCTCGGTTTACGAAATGAGAGATCTGCAATATATGTATTTTATATAATCAGTATATGTATTTTACATAATCTAATTTATTTAGTTTTTTCTAATAATATATCTAATTGCTGTAAGTTTTAAAATATCTCACTGGTATTACTTACATTTTGACCATAATTTCAATTAATGAAGATATTTCTCAATTCTTATGTAACGTAACTCAGTATAAAATAATTGTTTGCGCACTGAATAGAAATCAGTTTGTTAATTTTTTATCGAGCAGGTTATAAAATTTTTATTCAAACTCATTTCACTTGATACGTCAATACAATCTGCATCTCTATATTTTTCTTAGCCGCATTTTAAATTTTAATTTCTCGGCTTGATAGTAAGACAAGAAAAGGTTCGAAATAATTCAGCATGAGCTTGTCAATAACTAAAAAAACATTGGATTCCTATTATTCACTGAATGTCCTGTTGTTTTGCAGCAAAAGTGATGGCTTCAAAATCTTTAACGCAAGAGGTAGGGGATGTGTAATTAAGTTAATCCCCCAAAGTAATCATGAACTGCAAATTCATTAAGCACAAACAATTCAGTAATTCTGAACTGAGAATTATGTTCATTGTGAATTACCACTTATCATTCTGAAACCACAGATTAAACTTTCAGATAAATAAAATGTTAATTCTACTATGGTTTTCAGTAACATGCCAATGCTAGAACCTCATAGAAACTAACATGCAAATCGTTTTTAAATGGTATGTTGAAGTGGATAACAAATGTATATTTTTTAAATTCAAAACTGTGTTCATAATTTCTTATATACTGTGAACGTTATTTTAATGCTAAGTAGCGAAGTTATGCAATAGATCTCTCTATTTGCTAATTTGATACGAAATCAGTCTAAGCGCATTTTCGTTTCTACAAAATTCTAACTGAACCTGCTAATATGTTGTAAAAGAAGAACAGAGTTGTGCATTCAGTGGAAAGAGTTTTCTTTAAAATTTTGTTTCATCTTTCATTAATAATTTTATTTATTAATAATTTGTTTATTCTAAATACTTGGTTTTAATTATTGGGGCAAATCCTATACGTTCACGAATCTGAGTTTTAAAAATTATTCGAATATCCGGAATCATTCAAGTAAGAAAACTGAGAAACAAGTAAAAGTTCTTTTACTTATTACTAAATATTTAAATTAAAACTTGTATTAAATAAAAATTTGAATTCTGCGTTTGATAAAAACATACTTAAGAAAATAAATTTTGATTAATAAGCTTAAATTTATTAAAAAAATATTAATAAATAAACAAAAAACCTGAATGTTCAGATTTTAATTGTCGCCCAGAAGAGTTTGTTAAAGTTGTTTACGCTGTCACTGAGCTCGTATTTTCTTCGCACTTACGCCACATACAATACAACAACAAAAAACTCCACAAAACTTAAAAATCTGCATGGCAGCATATGTTTAGAAGTCCCGATGCAGTATTAAGTATTGGTTTACATTTTTATATTTTTTTTCAGTCTTTTCTCAGTTTATCGTATTAGTATTCTGTTTTCTGAGTAAAGTATTTCTTTTTTATTACCTTTTTGCATGTTAACTTTATTTCTTAAATATCTTACTTTTCGCCCTTGCGCCACATCAGATTCAATTCAACAGCGAAATCATATTATAAATTGTTTTCGCACAAATTTGATACTACTTACACCGTCGGATAGAGCAAGAAAGAAATCGTTTAAATTAAATTTATATCAAATTTTAACATAATTTCTGATTTTATGACAAATTTCCCATTGTCGCTGGATTTCTTGGACTATTTGATGACTGTGGTTTTAAAAGTTTAACGTCTAAAAGTCTATTGGCTGCAAAGTTTTTTATTTTCAGATTAGAATGATATGATAATATCAATTGAGCTATCTTCTAATTTTTTAAGGAAAAGTATCAGTTCTTCAGTTTTAAGATTATGATGTCATTATGGTACACTAGTTTCCTTGCTTTCGTGTAGATTTCTCTAAAATTGATTTTGTGTATCGTAAGCTTTTATTTAACTTGCTCATGCTGTTTGTCACTAAGGTTAAAACTTTGTCATCCATTTTTAAACTATTTTCATGTAAACTGTAGAGATCAAATGTTGCACAATCACTCATTGTGAAAGGAAATACAATTTGGTGCATCAAAGCTTTAAAATTTTAATTTAGATATTTTAAAATTAAGTATTGAAACGATTTTTGCTGCTATCTTAGTTAAATGCAAAATTTAAAAAATTTAAAAATTAAATTAATTTTTTATTCTCAGCATTAGATGAGAGCAGGAAAAAATCTTTCAAAAGAAAATTACATAAAAAATTAAAGTAATTTATAATTTTTTGGCAAAATTGCTGGGTATTTTGGATCATTTGATGTAATAGATTTGTTAGCGATCATCATTGTTGAAAAATAGCTTTTCAATTTGATTGATGTGAAATTATTCAGACTAAGAAGATTAAATTAAAAAATATAAAAAAAATAATATGATGTACAATTTAATCTTGAATTTTGAAAGTTTGAAAAATTAATTTTGTAAAGAGAATTATTTAATCTCTTAATATCAAATTTTCTTTGGTCCCATTAAACTATATGATTAATAATTTTTTCTCCTTTTAATTTTATTAACGATTTGATAAGTTTTAAACAAAAGCTTATTTTCAAAAACTTCTTTTATATTTTTCTTTATATTTATAAAAATTTAAATAGAATCAAAAACATGATTAATTTGATGTCTTTCTCTGGTGGCGCTATTAATAGGAATATAACAATAGTTTCTGTAATCGTTGTTCTCAGTTTATAACATTTATGCTTATAGTTCAGCATATCTCGAGAAACGTTCCCACTATACGTGTTTGACCGTATTATTAAAGTTGAAAGTGCAGAAACGACAAAATAATTATACATCCATAAATATTATTAAAACTCGCGTATATTTATTATTATTAAATATTAAAATCAAAATATGAGAAACGCGTCTTAAAGCCTATTGCTTCCCTTCATAACTTAAATATAAAAGGAAACAGATCTATGTACACTTTTATATAAAAATAAGAAAATATTAATATGTTTTTAAAAAAAATAAGCCGATTTAATTTTCTTACTTATTTTGTTTCTAGAGACGAAGATTATAACTTCTAATAACTTTAGAATTTTCTTAGTCCATGCGAAAAACCAATCCCAAGAAAATTTTTGCCTCGTAATTCAAGTAAAGAAAAATCAAATTGTCTATAACGCTATAAGTATGACAGAAATATTTATTTTAATAAGATGACTTTTATCGTTTTCAGCTAATCCACCTGAGTTTCTGCATACCTTTGAAAACATTACTGTAAATCCAGGCTCATCGGTGTCTCTCAAATGTGCTGCATCTGGAAATCCATTACCTCAAATCACGTGGTCTTTAGATGGATCTCAGGTAGGATTAAAAGGTTAAAAAATTTATGTATTGCTTTAAATTATGTAGCAACACACAGCATATATGTAAAATGTTCAAGTTTAATGAGAGCTTTTTCAAGTGAAAAAGAGAAAAGCTACCTTAATCTAAGTTTATTCCATTATTTAGCATTATAATGAATTTCTAAATTATCATATTTGAAAAAGACTTTCCATAGCATTTTATATTACCTCAGTATGCATTAAATTTGAAAAATCACCCGTACTTTTAAGTCCATGAAAAATAATTAAATAGCAATTGAAATTACAGAAAATTATTAAGTCAACTTACGTCGTTCAGCCTAAATTGAAAAAAAAAAATGCTTTGTTTCCATGCAGTTAAAACCGGAATTTTTCTTCAGCTTTAATCGATAACAATTAATTTTTCAGTACCGGATGCCGAAATCTGCAGTTAATAGATATGTTGATTCCGGTATTGTTTTATAAAATGAAGTCATTTTTAAAATTATTTACTAGAACTTAACTTTTAAGTCAATGAGAGTGAATATATCGTAGGAACCTCTGCACTTCAGTCCACTAAATTTAACTTGAGTTTCGTAATTAACGCATTCTTGATAAACTTTGGAATCTAAATTATGATGGTGTGACAATTAAAAGTAAGGTTAAACACCAATGAGGCTTAGAAAAAGTTTCGCGAAGACTTTTATGATTTGGAGGAGTAACGAGTAGCGAGAACCAAGCAGAGAATAAAACATATTACTGCTTTTTTGTAACACATTGCCAGGAAAGAAAACGTTCTTTGAAAATCTCGATTATCAGGAAGATTTTGGGGCTTCTTAAATGTTCTTTGAATTTACAAGTTCATCTAAATTTGTATATATGATTTTGTGAGTATTAAAAATCTTTGCGCTACACACTGTTGTCAGAAATTTTAAATATGTTCCCATACGTTTTCGTTAAATATTATTGAATATGCTCTTCATTTTTCTGGTGAAAATTATTTGTTCAATCTGAGCCTTCCCATTTTAAATTACACTTTCCTAAGAAATACATCATCTAGAATTAATTTATTTTCGTTTTTGGTCAAAAAAAGAATTCTTACGTACCCTGAAGCAATTATTATAGTACTATTACGGAAGAACTGGATATGCATATATAATTTTACTGCAAATTGACAAGAAATGTGAAAGAGTGTGATTGATACCAGTAGGAAGCCTCTGTCAGCACTAACTTCAAACTTATTAAATTGAAAGTCTGAAGAACTCACTAAGCATTTCATATGAGAGTTCATTACCATCGATAAAAGCGTTCTTAAATTGATGAAAGAGTTCAATACGAAGCCATACATATATCATCCTATTTAGGCATAGCACAATGGAGTTCTACAGGAGAGAGAAAATTTGTAAAAGTGTTTTGGACCAAGTAAAAGGCTGCAATTTCGTAAATGAAAGATTAGAAATCGGAAGAAAGGTTATTGAGACTACTTGTTAATTTAGACTAAACAAATTATCAATCTAACTAGGAAACCTGGAAAAACGATACCATACAAGGGCGTATTCGGATGAACATTATTCAATTGTAGTTTTAATCAGGATAGTAAATAATAAAACTTACAAGTAGAAATTTGTCTTAAGATTAAAATGGGAGTGAAGTGAGTTCTTCTAGCAGGAATATAAACCACTTCATTAGGGTCTTGCAATACAACATGAATTCCGAAGAAAAGTGAGTGGATTCTGCGAGTCAAAGAACCAAGCCGTTTTGTACACAGAGCACGTTTGTAATATACTTACAATAATATACAAATCAACGAAATTAAATTGAAAAATAAGCATTCGTTAAATAAAGTGGAACGAATACTGCTCTGGTGATCCCCAGTGCACTTTTGTAAGATAACTTTTGCTTTCAGAATCAAATCTACAACAACTCTTCAATTGAAGGAAAGATTTAAGATACGTTCTTAGATATTTTTAAATATTATTCAAAATTGCTTCGGTGTGGTTGAAAGAGATTATAAGCACCTTCAGAGGACATGACGAATACTAGATTTGAAGTCTCTGTTTCGTTAATACGTGCAAATAATTAAAATATCAATTAATACTTAATTTACAAAATAATATTAAACGTACATTCAATCATTTACAGTTAACAAATGACACTATCATTTTTACCTTTTATTCAATTGTAATTTTAATATTTATGAAGCAAGATTGTTTCATTAATAAAAAAATAATGGCAAACTAGAACGTAGTGTCAGTTTGCTCGGATAAATTTATTTATTTATTTAACGAAGCAAGAACTGTGTTATTATATTACAACTTGCTATCAGTACTTCACCGTAATATTTAATATTTTCTTATTTCATTATAAAACTCGATACTAAAAGAATGCTTTCAAGCTACCGAACGAGGTAATTAACGTTCCCACTTATTAATTAAGCACATAATTATAAAATTTTCTTTATATTTCATTTTTAATCATGACCAAACAATTTTCCGATGCCAATATTCTTTTCTTCCTTTCTTTAAGACTGAAAGAAAATGAAAATTGAAAGAAAAACTCTTGTGTCAATACGTTTCATGGTCTTAGAAATAATCAAGAAAAGATTTGTATCGAACGCTTAATTTTTGTTCCCATCTTTGAACAACGTATTTTTTAGATAGATAATTTCGCTTTGTTTAGTTATCTAGCTTTATGTAATCAAAATGAAAGTAAGCTTAATCATCAGAATAGAAGTAATGACATGTCATGAGTTCAATTATAAACTTGCAATGTAAAGGCTTGCTCGTGCAAACCTTTACAAGCGCACACAATTTTGATTAATGTTTTTCTTATTTTAGTAATTTTAACTTTCAACCTCTCTTAGTGTAAATAAAAAAGAATGATAACAACATACATCATGTTCAAAATTTCAATCATTCAATGCATTAAAAGATTGTAAGAAATGGTATTTTTTTAGGTACCTGAAGATCAGAGCTTCCGATCAGGAGATTACGTCACACTGGAAAATACTGTAGTGAGTTACGTTAATATTTCACGAGCTGGTGTAGAACATTCTGGAGAGTTTACATGTACAGCGAAAAATGATGCTGGTGAAGTTCAACACAGTAGATGGCTAAGGGTACCCGGTCCTCCTTTCGTACGGCCGATGAAAAATCAAACAATCGTAGCTGGTGAATTAATGAAAATTAGGTGCCCTGCTGGAGGTTATCCAATTCATAGGATATCTTGGGAAAGAGGTAAAATTTTATAAAGGAACCTTATTTTTATTAGGAACTATCAGGTTGTTATGTTGTTTAACACATGTGGGCAAATATCGATTGTCGAAATGCTTCTGTATACGTAATTTTAATGTGTATATCTATTTAAATTTTAATCAAACTATTGATGGAGAACTAAATAGCAGGAAGGAAACAAGCGATAACAAATAAAGGAAATTAAGCCTGAAATTGAAAGAAAATTAAATCATAAACAAAATTCAGTAGAGTTGATAATTCTTTTAATCTTCTTCCTAGGAAAAGTGAATAGAATTATCAAAGAATCCAGGATTCTGAATTTGGATGAACTGCCATATTGAAATTGTAAATATTTTTTTTAATATTGAACTGTTTTAGTTTAAAATAACAAAGTGTAAAACAGAACAGTTTAAACAAAATTTTAAAAAAAAATCTGAAGTAAAATTAGAATAATAAGTTATTGAATTTTTACAATTCAACTAAAAAAATACCATAATTTGAGTAACTGGCCTGGAGGAATACAATGTTCCGTTCAGTTAAAGAAAGAAAAGAATTAATACTAAAGTTGCTTTTACTTAGAAGCGCAAAGCAGCCAAAACAAATTATGGCTGTTTTTAGTAGTTGTTACAAAATGGTCCATGTTCCCGTTAGAAAGATCACTTTAAGACCTTCATTTTAATTTCGAAAATTTGAAATGAGCCAATAAATAATGCAAAATCCATAAATTTTCCAAAACGGAAAGTTATGTGATTAATTAAAAGTAATTAATAAAAATGCTGAGTACTCTTTTGTAGAAGTGTTTATTTTGAAATGTTTATTTTGGTATTATACTATGTTCAGATAGGTGAAAAAGTAAAATTTATACGTTTACACGCACTTTGAGATTAAACGTTTAAATAAAATCATTAGAAATTTGAAATTTATTTATTTACAGCTGCTTTGTAATTATTATCTGGCTAATCTAGTATGCATAATTATTAAAGTACGAAGCTATTAATGATCTAATATGCATAATTATTAAAGATAAATTTTAAAAACTTCATGGTCAATAAGTTAGACAAGAAATATCAAAAATCTTATACCAAAAGAAAAAGCTATTAAGTCTTTTTTAAAAATATTTTTAAACTAATTTAAAATTAAAGCGAATTTGATTCATGTTTTGACGCATTAAAACTGAAGTTCGTGATGGGAAATTAGACAATCAGTATAGTTGGCGATGCTTACAATTTAAATCTATTAATAACTCAAAGCAAAATTCAAGTTGTTATTACTTTAATAAGCACTGAATTTTGTTTCGAGTTTTGGGGCATTATGCCCAAACTCCGTGATGGTGACCTTGTAGAGACAGTAGGTATTTTTTGGAAGCAGGCAAGATGAAAAATATGCAATCCCTTTGCCGGGAATCGAACCGCGGACCTCTCAACCGCGCTGAGCGTGCAAACCACTACACCACGAAGGCTTGCTAAAAAGGCGGGAGAAATGCCTTATAACCTAAGTAATCAGTACAGTTGGTGTTCCGTATAAATTAAGCATAATATCCAACTCAATTACTGTTTATTTTTGTAATAAGCACTTGAATTTTGTTTCGAGTTTTGAGCTTGTTTTTCAGGCACTAAACCCGGTCCGTGGAGGTGACATGATAATGTACTAGTTATTCGTGTTTTTTGTCTATTTTATGTTGTGTCAACTACTGAATGGAGTACTGTCGAATGATCTCTCGAAATGATCTCGAAAATATTCGCTACAGTCGTGAAGCAGACAACTGTTTTAGTGAAAGATATAATCATTACTATTTTCATATACCTGCGACACCTACTAGTTTTAATTTTTAATTGAATTTTTAAATGTTTCCCGGAATTATGAATAATTGCATATAATTTTCGAAGCACATGTATTTTGCTTAGTTTGTAATGCATGTTTCTAAAAATCTTTAATATATAGATTTTTTTTTTATTTCAATTTATCTTACAGTGGAGTTACCTTTTCACGATTAAGTACATGTAATGTACATGTATGTAATGCAGCACAATGTCTTCTTTAACACAGGCAAGCAACAGTATATTTTCCGAATTTTGCATTTCTATTCAAGCCAGAACAAGAAAATATGTTCCTGCGAATTATTTTCAAGCGAATAACTTTCACTTTATTGTCAGAGAGCTTCATACAAACAGAATCTTTCAAAGACATCGCGGAACATAAAATTTAATAAATGCGTACCCGTGAAACAGTAAGGGAATAAGCAATTTTTTCCTTTTCAGTTTCATTGGTATATTCAATTGGTATTTACTTCTAAATGAGCTGTCAATATTCTCGGAAGTTTCTAAACAAATAACTATCCAAAATATTTCGTTATATATAAAGACAGAATACTTAACAAGACTACTGAATAACAGATAAAGATAAATGAATGTTTTATCTTGTGTTTCATACATTGGTACTATTCAAGTCGTAACATTCTTCTTCAGCTATTGATAGTCAATGTAATATATAAGTTTGTTAACTGTTACTGAAAATTGCTTAACGGAATACTATGAATTAAAAATAAGGAATAAAGAAACAATTCGATTCATTTATCACACTCATGTTAAGAAAGGAAAAGATTTTGTTTTTATTCCAAAGAAAAAGTTCAGCTATTTCTGCAATCAAAGTAATAAGCAACGTTTACTGTTTTACAAAGTAAAAAACTGCAGCTAGCAAAATGTATTGCAATGTAAAATATTTTTTTGTTAATATGAAAGACGTTTCCAACTTATTAGGAAATATTTGAGAAGCATATGCAATAGTAATAGTACTAAGACTAGCATCGATAGAGCAATTTTTGTTTACTAAACAATTCCGTTTCACAATCCTAGTATATTTTCGTTTTCTGAATACGTTATTTATCTTTATTATGGGCAAAAGTTTTGGTTTCGTTAAAACAATTAAATTAGAACAAAGTGCAGAAAGACTTTATTAGAAAAAGTAATGTTTTCTAAAAGTTCTTCCAAGAGACTGAGTTTATATTTAAGTTACGTAACATAAAATAAAATAAAGATGAAAAATGTATATCACAAGAGAATTGAAAACTCAGTGGAACTACCGATAGTAATGGTCTTCTCTGCTTGGCTGAGGCTTGACGAACGGATTTTTTTTTAAATAGATATCAGAGCTTTCTCTTGATACCTTATCAAATGCTTTATTAATTCAATTGTTTTTAACAATGTTGTCCCTCGTCCAATTTCGATACTCTGAAGACACTAGACATAATAAGCTTACTCATTTAGAATCGTTAAATATAATTCATAATAAATCGAAATCCTTAAAATTTTCTTTGTGATTGTATATAATAGCCAAAAAATGCTGATGACATTTAATGAATAAATAGCCTGAGTAAAGTAAATATCGATATTTGTGTTTTAGAAATGTGTATCATTAAGAAAGGATAAAGGTCTCAGTGATTTCTAACAATTTAAAAATTAAAAGGAAACAATGTGAAAGGAAGATATATATAGCACAATCCATTTTTTAATCAGCAACGGTACCTCGCCGATTCCAAATAATAAATTATTAAGTAAATGTCTTGCTCAGGTTTTGTTTGTTATTTTACTCGCCATCTGTAGAAATTACAGCACGCGAAGTCCATCAGTTGTGTTTCTTTAGCTATCGGCATAATTAAATACATAATACCGAAAGTTGTATACAAATTATTTAATTTAAAATACACATGCGTAATTTATATTTCAGAAAAACAAAATTAAGCGTTACTATATTTATTATTGCATGAAAATTACAAATTTGGTACAGATGATGACAGTGATGGCATATAACTCCGAATCAATGGTATAAGATTATTATTTAAATTAACCACTTATTTGTAATCCTTTAATGTAACTTCTCCTTTCTGTTCCCTTACCCGATATGTAAATTTATTTAGAGAGTATTTAAGGTAAGATTTATGTACTGCGAAACAGAGTGTGTTTCTGCACCTCGTGACCAGATTATATAGTTCCTGCCAGCTCTGATATGTTTGTAATTATTTGTCTTTGCGGTATTTCTGCTGATTTGAAAATTGTTACTCTGTTAGAGGTATTGAGTCAACTTAGATTCAGATTCAATTGTATAGTTTTCGGCTATTAGCCTACGTTTTAAATTGGGAATTTAACTGTTATTTTAGTTTCATCGTCACACATTGTGGTTGATTCTGCTAGCATGAGAAGTGCATTCATTTTTTAAGTTATCTCTACATATAATAAAAGAAAGAGTCTGTCTGTGTGTGTGTGTCTTTCGTTCGCGCTGCGCGTAAGCTAATAGACCCACGGCTACGAAATTTGGTACATAGGTGCATCTAGACAAAAGCCAGTGCACCTCGAAGCGATCTTTTTCGAAAATCGATTTGGAATTTTTTTATTTTATGTTTTGTTACAAAATCGCGTCATTTTAAGACATAATGGGCTATAGGAAAGCGAGATTTTACTCTACACACTCCATTTTCACAACGTCATGAAACGTAGGCACTTAGCTAGTTTACGAACTTAAAATAAATTTCGTGTTTCAATAAATCGATTAAATTCGAATTTATTTAAGTAAGGTAGATTAATACTTGTTCAACGAGATTTTCTAAAAAAGTTTATTTTTAAAAATGTACAGTTTATTTTTCTTTGATTTTTGGACACGTTAAACTTTCATTCTTGCGACTGCTTTTACAAAACGAATTTTCGAAAAATGATAATATTTTGTATTTATAAATATTTTTCTAAATGAAGCTTCCAAATACACTTCTGACATCTCACATCTTTAAAAATGTGATTTTGGCAACAATTTTTCTGTCTTATTGTTGTTGATAGATTTTTGATCAAATCCCATCATTTTAAATAGTTTCATTCTTTTAGAAATATGGGTTTGGCAACAATTTTTCATCGTATTTCTTATGTCACTGTTTTTAAGAGATTGGCATATTTCATTTTCATTTATATATATATATATGATACATTTTTATTGATTTTTTTTTCATAAAGTTGTTCTAC